GTCCATTCAAACTGACCTACTTTCAGTTGCCCAACTCAACATGCTTTACCAAGTTCCTACACATGCCTGGAGTGCCTTCTCCTCCCTGTGCCAGCCTGGAGAACTTCAATCTGTCTTGGAAACTCTGTTCATGAATCACCTCGAACAGCGTACCCCAGGAAATGTTAGTTTGTGTGCCAGGCTCCAACCAGCAATGGGAAACTCTTTGAGATCGGTACTGTATTTCATTATCTTTATATTCTCCATATTTAGCATAGGCTAAAAATGTGCTAGTTTTGTTGAATGAGTGGATAAATGTTTGCTAGGTACTTTAGGTTGCCAAAAGTTCTGGTCCAGGACCTGCTGCATTCAAACAGTTGATGGAGTGTGTGCTGTCATGCCTTGGGAAAGACCCTGGTGATTTTCATTTTTGATATTTGGGCCACAGTATTTTAATCATCAATTCAATAATTATTTATTAAACACCCACTATAGGGGCCTCCCTGGTGGTGCAGCAGGTTGAGCGGTGCAGCTGATTGAGCGCCGCACTGTGAAGCTGTCCGCAGCCCCTGCAGCGTGGGTTCGATTCCCAGCTGGCCAGGGAGCAACCCACATGGCGTGGCAGACTTCTGCCTCGCCTGCTGCTCCCCTCAGCAGTGTCTTCTGTCTGTCTGCCTATTCTGCTCCCAGCTCTGTCTCTGGTGAATTCTCTCACCCTCCCGTGCCTCTGACTGTACCCCAGTTCTTGTATAAATAAATAAATCTTAAAAAACCCCACAAAATTACAAAAAAAAAATCTTTAAACACCCACTATGTATCAAGTCCCGTGTCATTTTCAAAGGTTAGGGAATAATACATTAAGCAAGAAAAACTTCCCTGTCAAAGCTGTGCTCTCCAAAAGAAGCTTTATAACCTTCTGAATTTAAAGTATGAAGCTATTTTTGGAAGTAGACTCTGGGAGATGCAATTATTTCACCACACTAAAGGAAATTTTAAACAACGCTAAATAATTGAAAAAAAAATTAGTGGCTTCAGGCAGCAGATGGAGTGACATGATCCAACTGTGCCACATGGTGGCAGTGCTCCCCCAGAAATGAAGATTTAGCTACCTAGGACTCCGGAAAAGCAAGTAGTTCTCACTCTAGAGGAATGGTACTAAAAATTTAACAAGATAGGCTTTCTCAATTGCAGAAAAGCTTAAGTGAAATATTTTATTTAGTTAATTTTCTCCCTCCAAACTTTTGTAAGCCCTTGTAATATACTTTTGTCTATCTGCCAGCAAGAAATATAAATAGAACTTTGGAATAGAGCATGTTAAATCCCATGGCTTATTTTTTTCATGAACAAGTAACCTCAGAATTGATTTTTTTATATTGATTTTCTGTGGTATAATGATAGGTCCTACTGGTGAAAATGTTTCCTAATTTAAATGACCAGATTTACTGTGTGAGTCTAGCTAGGCCTGCAGCGTGCCATCCCTCCAGGTGCTCTGCCAATTAAACCAATTTGAGAATCACGATTTGATCTGAAGCCTTCTGGCTACAAACAAGAAAAACAAGCCTCTGAGAAGCTAAATGACATTCCTAAATTCACAGAGCCATCTATGGAACAGGTTCCGGTTCATCCTTTTGTAAAGTTCACTTTACAAATCTTTCCCTTAATACTCTCCATCAACTTCATAAACAAGGTGTTGGATGTTTAAACGTGAAGGACTAGGGTCAGAAGAATCAAGGGTAATTCCCAGGCTTCAGAGTTGGTGAGTGATGGGATATGGTGCCATTCATCAAAATTGAGACTATAGGTCACTGTTTCCAAATACAGACTCAGTTTACCTTGACCCTAGTGAATATGTAGAATAAATGATTTCTCCTTCTTGGATCTCTCCTTCCACCCATTGTCCTAAGCAGAGCCCTTTTAGCTTCTGTGGTAACTGAAGAGGTGCCCTTCAAAGAGAGGAACAGGGGCCTTCCTAGTGGCTCAAGTGTTAAGATGCAGCCTACGAAGCTATCCACTGCCAATGAGTTTGATTCCCAGCCAGGGAGCAGCCCACAAGGCGCAGCAGACCTCTCCTGCCTCACCCGCTGCTCCCCTCAGCAGTGTACTTTGGTCAATTTGCCTGTTCCATTCGCCACTCTGTCTCTGGTGAATCCTCTCACTGCCCACCCCAACCCCAGCGCCTCTGGCCTGTACCCCAGCTCTTGTATGCATAAATAAATAAATCTTAAAAAAAAAAACCTGAGCGGAACAAGCTAATCAGTTCTGAAAATGCTAATATTTCTTTTATCCACCCCCAAGGTGGTTCAAGAAGAATAACATAGTTGTCAAGTTGCTGAATTAATTAGTTCAACAAATACTGATTGATTTCCCTACCATGAGTCAGCTATGTTCTAAGTCCTTAGTTCTCAAGGTGTGGTCTCTGTACCAGCAGCATTAGCATCACCTGGGAACTTGTTTAGAATTGCAAATTCTTGGGCTTCACATCTGACAGAATGAGTCAGAAACTCTGGCAGTGGGATTCAACAATCTGTGCTTTTACCAGCCCTTCAGATCATTCTGACGCTTGCTTAGGTTAGAGTATGACTATTCTAGATAGTGAGGACATGTTATTAAAGATAATAAAGCGCTTGTCCTTTTGGAGTAACAGTATCAAATAGATAAATGATATTTCAGGCAGAGAGAAATGTTATCTGGAAAACAAGAACAGGGGATGGAGGGAGCATGTAGAGGGTACTCAGCAGGATCTCTCGGAGGCATTTGAGCTCTGGAGTCAGATTGAGCAAGGTGTGAATATTGGCTCTACCAGTTACTAGCCTATTAAGATTAAATTTCCTTGTCAACTAAAACTTCAATAGTAATATGACTTATTTACACTACCTGATTACTCTGAAGATTAAATAAGATAATGTTGGCAAAATTCTTGCAACTATTTCTGTCACAGGGTAAGCCCCCATAAGTATTAGCCCTTCAAGTTCAAGGAAAGAGTGCTATAAAATGCACACTTGGGAAACATTGATGTGAAAATTGATAGTAAAGTGAATGAAAAAGTGGACAGACTAATGTGAAAGGAAGATGATGGATGATGGGGTCTTGCTGCTGGGGACAGAGTGGGTTGAGAAGAGGTAAAGAGATGAGGAAGTGAAGATGAGAGAGAACTTTTTTTTTTAGCAATTTTGCACATTTCTAATTTATTTATTTATTTATTTATACAAGAGCTGGGAGGGTGAGAGGATTCACGAGAGACAGAGCAGGGATCAGAACAGGCAGATGGACTGAATGCCCTGCTGAGGGTAGCAGCGGGCGAGACAGGAAAGGTCTGCTGCGCCGTGTGGGTCTCTCCCTGGCCAGCCGGGAATTGAACTCACAAGGCAGAGGCTGCGGGACAACTGCGCTCAACCCGCTGCGCCACCGGGGAGGCCCCAAGAGAACTTTTTTATAGGGCCTCCCCGGTGGCTCAGCGGTTGAGCGCTGGGTTGCGAAGCTGCCCACAGCCTCTGCAGCGCAGGTTCGATCCCCGGCCCTGGCGAGGGTCCCACATGGCGCGCAGACCTCTCCTGCCACCCGCTGCTCCCCTCAGCAGTGTACTTCCTCACTCTGCCTGTTCTGTTCTCTGCTCTGGCTCTGGTGAATTCTCTCACCCTCCCGCGCTTCTGACTGTACTCAGTGCTTGTATAAATAAATAAATCTATTAAAAAAAGATTTATTTATTTATGCATAAAAGAGCTGGGGTACAGGCCAGAGGTGTTGGAGGGTGAGAGGATTCACCTGAGACAGAGTGGGGAGCAGAACAGGCAGACTGACTGAAATACACTGCTGAGAGGAGCAGCCTGTGAGTAAGGAGAGGTCTGCTGTGCCATGTGGATAGCTCCCTGGCTGGGGATCAAACTCGTGCTGCAGTGGCTGCAGATAGCTTCATCGGATGCATCTTAACCCCTTGCGCCACCAGGGAGGCCTTGAGAGAGAACTTATATCTGAACCATGCCAAAGCTGGGAACTTGGAAGAGGAGGCCAGTGGATAGGATGATTAACCACTTTGGTTAGCCTGGAACTGAGGAGATTTCCAGGATATGGGACTTTCGTCGCTAAAACTGGAAAAGTGCTGGGAAAATGGGGGTTAGTTGTGCTCTTACCAGTGCATAGGATTGTGGGGAGTAAAATGGAGGATGGTAAATATTGTGACCTTTCTTTCCTGCTCTCCTCCTTAAAGTTGTCTTGTAAAGTGCCTTTCAGTACTTTGACCTAAAGAGAAATCAGAGGGCAAAAAGGAGCTTGGGTAATGTAGTTGGGAGAGGTCAGCCTTGCCTGGATAGAGGAGGATAAGAAAAAGCAGAATGGACCTGGAAAGAGAAAAAGAGAACCAGTGCAGTGACAAAGCTGGGATCAGAACGGTCTGGGATTAGTCCTACTCTAGAGCTTTCCTTTTTCTACCTTGTCCAAAGGTTGAAGGTCCACTGTGAGTAGGATGGGTGGGCATTTTCTGCATCCTTGAATTAATCTTAAATGATATTAAAAAGGTTACCCCAAAGTATTCTTTGCTATCTTGGGCAGTTTACAAATCTTTTCTCTATGTTCGGTGGTGTGCCATGTACAAGAAGGGGCAGGTGGTGTTGAACTGTTCCAGGGATGGAGAAAATCATCACGGGAGGGAGGAAGAGCTGGAGGCAGAGGGGTACCCAGGGCGTCTTCTCCGGCCCACTTCCCGCCTGGAGGGCATACTCCTCAAATTGCGCTTGATGGGAGTTTTGTCAAGCGATAACAAAGGTCAAAAATCAAAGACTACCACTGGTGAGGTACCGTCCTTCGAGGCCCGTGGGCCCTCCCATCCCACTGCTGGGGCACCTCCAAGCTCCCCCAGGCTCAGCTGACCAGGGAGCCAGGACCCGCCAACCCGAGCCAGATTATATTTAGCGGGAGGCCTTTCGTGATTGGACGAATGGGGTGGGGGCGTGGCCTCACGCAGGAAGCCCTCTTCGGATTGGTGTAAACCGTTAAGGGTGGGGCCTACTCCCTGTCTGGGCGCGAAAGCTCGAACGCGCAGCCGGGGTGGAGACGGCGGGAGCAGCTGTGCCTGGACTGGGGGCCGGAGCCCGGCTGCATTCTGAGCCGCGCGCTGGGAAGGCCGGAGCCATGACGGGCGAGGTAGTTTCTGAGGTGAGTTGATGCTCGGAACCCGGAACCCGGGCTGCGGAGGCCCGGCACCGAGGGCTGGAAGGAGCAGGGGTCTGCCGGGCCGAGGGCGGTGGCGCTGAGGACTACAGCTCCCGGCGTGCCCCGCGCGGCTCGGCCTCTCCGTCCGTGGTGGGGGTCAGGGGGGCGCTCCCGCTGGCCCGGGGCTGGCGACCCTGCGGTCCGGTCCCAGCGCGGGCTGCCCGCGCCTCCGTCACCCCCGCGGCGGGGCGTCCGGGCCCTACTCAGCGACCTCGCCCGCCCTTCCTTTTGGCGCGTTTCCTGCCGCGGGAGCTCCTCTTTTTCACAGCGCCCCAAAATGTTAGGAAGGCCCAGGTCAAATGCGGCCGCTGGCTTGCGGGGCCCGTTCTCTAGATGGCGGGGTCCTAGGAGTTCAAAACTGGGTCTAGAAGAGGCCTTTGGGTATTCTTGAGGGACCCGGGGGGCGGAAGTGACAGCCTCTGGGCCTCCCTCCCGCCTGGCGGCTGGGGAATTGGCAAGAAAACATCTGGATTCTTTTCTGCGGCTGGGTCTCACCTTTTGAGCACAATTTAAGGGGGTGCACGAAAACTCAGCGATCAAGAAAATCATAGCATTATTAAGGAAAAAACAAAAACAAAAAAAAACCCGGGCCTCCCTGGTGGAGCAAGGGGTTAAGCACAGCACTATGAAGCAATCCGCAGCCTCTGCAGCACCACTTCGATCCCCGGCCAGGGAGCAACCCACTTGGCGTGGCAGACCTCCCCTGTCTCACCCGCTGCACCCCTCAGCAGTGTATTTCAGTCAGTCTGCCTGTTCTGTTCCCCACTCTGTCTCTGATGAATCCTCGTCACCCCCCCCCGTATCTCTGGCCTGTACCCCAGTTCTTGTATGCATAAATAAATCTTTAAAAAAAAGAAAAGAAAAGAAAACCCCAAAGATTAATGCAGAAGAAAGTCCCATGATTTGATATTGAAGGAAATACCAAACTAATAGAGACAAGATCTGACACTGTCCTTCCATGATTTAGCTTCACTTTACATTAATCCTGGTTATGATGCCAATAATAGCAGGTGGTTGACCCCAGGAGCCATAATGTGCCCATTTTATTGATTTTTTTAAAATAGTACAATAAGGTGTTATTTTGAGAACCTGTACCTGGATTTTGACCATTGCTGGTACTCTGCTGCAAATTGCCTAAAATAGGGATTAAGAGCATCATGATGTATACAGCTGTTTGGCTCCCTATTCAGTTTCCTCATCCACAAAACATGATGAACAGTCTTATTGAGTTGGGTTGTTGGGAGACTCATCTGCGCATGATGATCTTCATTGGTTTCTCAGTACATGTTATCTTTGGTTATTCAAGAATTTAAATAAATTGAATAATTGTTGGAGAAACCATTAGGGTCAGACCTTGTGCCTTATTATTATTACAGATGTTAATACTTTCCCCTTATTAATAACTTGTTTCAGGGACCTAGAACACCAAGGAGGTAGGAGACCAGGTGTCTAGGGTCAGCTTGGTCACTAACTGGTCAAGTCAGCTAACGCCCTCAGGTAGTTTTACCTGTGAATTTTAAAGTGTTTTTATTTGGAAATTTTCAAACATACTCAGTTGTGGGAAGACTGATATAATGAACTTAACTCCAACAATTATCAAATCATGCTAATCTCATTTTATTTATATCCCCACCCACACCCTCCCTCACTGGTTTATTTGCAAGCAAATTCCAGACATTATTTCATCCACAAGTACTTCATTAAGCATCTCTAAAAGATAGGGCTTTCCAAAGATAATTATAATATAATTACCATACCTAAAAAATTTAGAATTATTGCTTAATATGAAATAACTAAAAGTCACTGTTTTCAGATTTCTTTGACACACACACACACTCACACATATATATGTGCACTTTCCGTTTAAATCGAGACCCAAACAAAGTCTGCATATTGCAATTGTTGGTATGTGTGTGTATCTTAACTCTTTTTATGGGGCCCCCTCCCTCTTTTTCCTTGCAATTTATTGTTAAAGAAACCATAGTTTGGCCTCTTGAGTTTCCCACATTTGGATTACATCATGGATTTAACATGCCATTTGGATACACTGAAAAATAGTTTACATGGAAGCAGCACAATAAAGGCTTGCTTCTTTTCATTTCTTTACCTTTACTCAAAATAAGGAGTTGGTGCTATTGCATCCTTCAAAGGTGAACAATGAATTTTTGTTTTTGATTTTCCAGTAATCCTTAATGTCATTCTTTCATTGGGCCATTGTTTTGGTCTTTTCCTTATTTCAGCCTGATGATCAGTTTGTATGTCATTATGTACTTAGAACTTTTTTATGACCTGCTGATTAATGTAAGGTATATTCTCATTTTCTAGGTTCACCTAGAAGTCAATTATCCAAAAATTATTTCACAAGAAGAAGCAGATAGCCCTTCAGACAGTGGACAGGGCAGCTGTGAAACAACTGGGCTCTTGAGTGAAAGAGGTTTGTAATATCCACATTTATTTTTAGGAATGGAATGTGGGAACTTGACCTGCAAGTGAATTGGATCAAATGGCCAACCTTATTGTTTGTTTGTACCCTTTTGAAAACCATTTCCATTATATTATTGAGTGTATAGAAATATCTAGAAGCTACCACATTGCCTGATTGAATGCATTCATTCTATAATGAAAGGATTTTTAGCACCTGCCAGAAGGATTAGAACAACTTTGCACATTGTAAATACATGTAATTACAGTTCTCAGTAAGAGACATTTTTTCAGGGAAAAATGTTTTTCAAAATGTATTTTTAGATTTGCTTTGCTACAATCAGTTCTTAGTGGTGTTACATAATTTCACAAGGTGATAAATCCCTTGGATAACTGAATATATTTTTCAGGAGTAGTGAAGCTAAGAGAAAAGCCAAATGACACTTGACCTCTTTAAAACAAAAACTTGTTTTCTCCAGATTCAGATGAAGACATATTTGTGAGTAAGAAATTGAAAAGCAGGAAGGTGCTACAAGACAGTGATTCTGAAAAAGAGGACACGAATGTGTCTCCAGAGAAAACTACCTATGACAGTGTCGAGGAGAATAAAGAGAACTTATATGCCGGCAAAAAAGGAAAAGTCAGAAGGATTTGCAAAACTCTGGTGGACAGTGATGAGAGTGACCTCGAAGAATCTTTGTGTACAGAAAGTCTTGAAAGCCAGGTGACACCTTGCTTAGAACTGGGTCTCCAATCTGAAAACACAGTGCACTTTACAGTTGACAGAAAGACCTCAAAAAACCCCATACGTGATAAAGGCGGAACTGGAGGAAAAGCTAAAGTAAAATCAAAGAGAAGACTTGAGAAAGAGGAGAGAAAGATGGAAAAAATTAGGCAACTAAAAAAGAAGGAAATGAAAAATGAGGTATATTTTAAAAAATTGCAGCTTCTAAGCTAGATTAACATTTTAGAAAAGTTGCTTTTAGTTCTTAAGATTGTTTCTGCATTCTGTAGAGCTTTGAATTGATAGTTTTGCAAAGCAAGTAATGGTGTGTGTGATTTAAAAGTTGTTTTCATTCTCCATTTTGTATACACTTCTAAGTAAATGGGTTTTTTATTTTCTCGTGAGCACATTGAATAGTTCTCTGCTGCTCCTGATATGACGAAAATTCACTTTCTAAGGAGGATTTCTCATGCAGTCATCAGTTAGAAGTCTTTTGCTAACTAGGAAAACCATCTTTAAGTCTTACAAACCCTTTGCTTAATAAATATTTAATTGGGCTTTTCAAAAAAAAATATTTACCATTAAGTTAGTTTTGGATAGTTGCATAAAATCATAGTCTGGATTTCAATAGATAACTATGGGTTAGGAACCAATGAGAGTATTCCAGAATTCATATACTTGTCCATTAATGAAACATGATCCAAGTTCTATATGATGTTATGAAATGTTTAATTTTTAAACTATTGGATTTTGCTTTTTCTTATGCATTATATAGGAAGATAATGTGAAACAACCATTTAATGACAGTGGCTGTCTTATGGATAATGACCTTTTTGAAACTGGGTTGGAAGAAGAAAATAACTCTTCAGTAGAAGATGAAGAATCATTAGAATCAATAAGGGCAGCTGTGAAAAATAAAGTGAAAAAGCACAAGGCAAGTAAAGGATGTTGCGATAAAGGCTAACCAACTGCTTCTAATCTATGCCTTGTTTTTTTGATTTACCATTAGAACGTTAATTTTTCTTATCTATAGAAAAACGTGTAAATTGATTTAAGTTTTTCAGCTGTTTTGGAATCTTGCAGTACAAGTGATAGACATGCTGACTTCTCTGGAAACTAGTATTTTGATTGCCCTTACAAGAACATTAAAAAAAGTTAAGATACTTTATTTTGTGTAAGAAGCAGGTGAAGAATGGGGCAGAGACATAAATTTTAGAACCCTGTGGTCCCTAATAAATGAACCTGTACTATTTCTGGAACGGTATCAAAGAGAGGCACCAGTCAAGGCATTGTTGTCCTGAGTTTTTAGAAGCATCTTTGTTCTTCCTAAGATGACCTTCAGCACCCTGGCAGGTGGTATTCCTCCTCAGGGAAAGAAATAATACCAAGGTAGGGAAAATGAGGGACCCAACTCCATTTGGAGACATCCAACTTGTTTTCTATGCATTATAGGATGTTGTGTTTTTAAATTTTCTTTGATAATAATTAACTATTAATGCAGCATGATATTGGAGTATCAAAGTAATATTTGAGTAAGCAACATCCTCTTGTTTCACTTTAATGTTTGTGCATATTAGTCAAGTTGCTAATCTTCTCTTTTAGAAAAAGGAACTGTCTTTGGAAAATGGGATCTATTCCTTAGAAGAAGAAAACGAGCTCTCAAAAGGCACTGTGAGGAAGGTGAGGTGGGGCCTACATAGTTGTGTTGATCTCTTTCCTCAAGAATTTGTGACTTTCTCAGAGATAAATATTTTATCATATCTATCACGTTTTCCTGCTACCCAGGATAGTGCTTTGTACGTAGTATGGATACAAATATGAATTGAATTAATTCTATGAGACTTGTAAATACGTGTAAATACCTTGAGCTTATATTGTTTTGAGCTTGTTAGTACTACTATTCCCTCTTCATCTTTTCTTGCAGAGACCAAACACTAGAGAAATTAATATCTGTCTTCCTTTATATTGCTTTAATGTGGCCTCACTTTTTATTTTCTTTAAGGAAAGAAAGGCAGCCAAATTAAGTAAGGAAGCACTGAAAAAACTGCATAGTGAGACTCAACGCCTTATTCGAGGTAATACAAACGAGTTCAATAAATCACAATATTTGTAAGTTCAACATGTATGTTGAGGAATTGTTTTTTTAACACTCCTAATATGAATTGGATTATTTCAAGTTCAGTATTTATCTTGATGAGTGACTATTGTTCTAATGTCCTTGAAGCATTAATTTAACAGAAAATATTCTAAAACTGTAATGGTGGTAAGGAGGGAGGCTTTTTTTGTTTTTTGTTTTTTTAAGTTTTTTTTTTTAATTGATGCATACAAGAACTGGGGTACAGGCCAGAGGTACAAGGTTGAGAGGATTTACCAGAGATAGAGTGGGGAACAAAACAGGTGGATCCACTGAAATACACTGCTGAGGGGAGCAGCAGGCGAGACAGGAGAGATCTGCTGCGCCATGTGGGTAGCTCCCTGGCCAGGGATAAAACTCATGCTGCAGTCGCTGCTGGTAGCTTGATAGTCCTGAGTCTTGACCCCTTGCATCACCAGGGAGGCCCAGAATCTGCTTTTCTAAAAAAAAAAAAAACTTCTTTAATCAGTTTGATATCACATCTAAGTTTAAAAGCCACTAGTCTTCAGGGAATTCTTTTGTACTTAGATCCTGCCTTTGTTAAAGGCAGGTTTGTTTTCTGTCTCTGGTGATGACTTTGGCGGTACTTTTTCGCTAACTGAATATGAAGTGACATTTCAGAATATACTGCTTATGTATTTACTTGCTTTATTCCATTTTATAGAGTCTGCCCTTAATCTTCCATATCATATGCCTGAGAATAAAACCATTCACTATTTCTTCAAGCGAAAACCCCGGCCAACTTGCCAGGGAAATGCCATGACACTACTAAAGTAAGAACCTTTTTCCCCTGTGATTATGATTTCTGTAAACATTTAGTTTTGTAGCAACATCAGGTGTAAAAATGTTAAGATTTCTCACTCCCTTAAAGCTGATTTGACTGATTCATTATGTGTTAAGGGATGAGAATATTTCACATTTAGGATCATTTTCAACTCCAGCTCATTTTTTTCCTACTCTAGGTCATCAAAATATCAGTCAAGCCTTCACAAAGAAATCATAGACACTGCAAATCTGATGGGGGTGAATAATGACCACCATAGCAAAGGTTCTGAGCAGACAGTAGGCACTGGATGCGAAATGGAAATCAATACACTCTGTGCAGTTTCAAAGGAGCCCCAGCTCACGACTGGATCAGATGAGTCTTGCAGTAAGGACTTGATGGGAGGTAAAGAAATAGAAGAAAATCAGGAGAAACAGAAGCAGAGTGATGATAGACCTTTGCCTGGGGACAACTCAGTGGGACCACAGGAATCCAACTTCCTTGGGAACAAGGACAGTGAGGACTGTCAGGCTGCGGGTCTTGAGGCACCTCAACCTCATGCCCTCGAGGAAGAAAATGATCTGAGAAAAACAGAAGAAGCAGATGAGAAGATAGAAGAACCCAGACAACAAACTAAAGCAGCAACAGTTGTGCCACCTGAGAAAGTGAGGAGGTTCACTCTGGATAGACTTAAGCAACTGGGAGTAGATGTTTTCATTAAACCTCGACTGGGTGCTGATGAAGATTCCTTTGTGACTCTTGAAGAACCTGAAGCCAACAGAGGTAATCCTTTGAATTGTGGGGAGTCTCCAGAGTGATTTATTCTAACAATATTTGGTCATTTGCTTCTGGAGGACAGGGAACACTAGATAACCACACGTAATGAAACAAATACAGGTAGAAAATCCCATGTAGCTAGATTTGGAGGGTATCAGAATGATCTACTTGTTTAAAACGGAAACCTGTTGATAGTTAACATATATGGAAGAGGTACATTGCTGTTGTGTTACATACTTAGGAACTTACTTCTGCCTCTCCAACTGAAATTCTAAGTTTTCCTGTGGTTTTGTGTTAAACCTTATTAAGATATTTATAATAAAGGCATTCAGTTTCACACAGTTAAACATTTTGGTTCAGTAAATTTTCTGAAAAATTGAATTTTTTTCCTCTGAACAAATATTAAACTATCTACTATATGCAAGATGCTGTAGGGCATACCCAGAGAAATCTGACACTTATCCTACACTTAATCTTTTACATGCTAGTAGGGGAGATAGGAAGTATGCAAAGAAGAATGTGGTAAGTGACATCTCCTGCGATAAACATGTATTGCAGACAATTGGGAAAAAAATAATGTGAAGAAAGGGAAAAGTAGTCTTTGCTGAAAGTAACATTTAGAAGTAACATTTCGAATAAAATGCTTTGGGAGTTCAGAGGAAGGATAAGTTTCTTCTGATAGGTGATTAAAGAAAAGGCTTGCAGAGTAGGTGGATATAGTTATTTGTTCACTGCCTTCCCCTTTGTTCTTTGAATAGGGATCTTCTTGTTCCCTACTCTATCCCCAGTGTTTCCAGAGTGGATGACTCATTGCAGGCAACCGTATTTATTAAATGAACAAATGAATTATTCTTTAAAACAGAACTCAAGTATTACCACATTTTGTAAACTTCCTGACTTGTAGGTAGAATTGATTGTTGCCTCCTCTGCATCCAGGCAGTGTGGCGTGATAGTGTAGGCTCTGTAGCAAGACTGGGCTTTGAATCTGGACTACGCTACTTACTGTTTAAACTTGAGTGTGGTATGTGACCGCTACAAGCCGTCTTTTTTAAGAAGTGAAGTTAAACTCTGGTTTACAGGACTGTAGTGAAGATTAGTTGAAACAATACAAGTAGATAACATATTTGATGGCTGTTCCTCTCACTACTTGGAGCCTTAGGTAGTGGGATTTTAGTCCATCATATATGTAAGCTGACTTGTCTTCACTCAGGGCACCAGGGGATGGTTTGGCTGTCCGTTAGTGCCTTCTGATTTTTGCGGAGTCAAACAATTTAAAAAAAAAAAAAAAAAAAAGAACAAGTAGATAACATAAACACTCAAATAGTGGCTGCTACTTCTGTTATTAGAGAGCTTATTTACATTAAGACAGCTTATTGTTGGCATTGATATCTAAGACAGAGTATCTGGTGTGTGAAATATGCTCAGTGAGTCTGGGTTAATTGAATGGATGGATTTTGTGGATATACAGAGGACATTCTTGGAAGGGATAAAAAGAGCTCTGCAGGGTGAGTGTCGGAAAGCTGTGTAAGTCAGTATGATGAGAGTAGGAGGTGGGGTAGAATAGCATTAGCTTGGCTCCCTTAGTAAGAGCATGAGAATGAGCTATTACCCAAAACTGAGAGGAAAGGTTTTCTTATATAGGACTACAAATTCTCTGAGTGGTTCCACACTAAGAAACTTGGAGTATTTACTAGACTTTGCTAAATTTTGTTATATGGGACTAGAAGTTATATAAACAGTCCTAGACTGAAAGACAGGAAGGGAAGAAACTTTATTTCCCTGGTACCTACTGTATTAGACCATATGGGTTCTTTGTTAGTTGGCTCTCTTAATTCTCATAGCCACAGGAATTGTTTTGTGAATGAAGAGACTAAGGCTTAGAGAGGTTGAGTAATGCAAGAAATTGGGTGATTTTTTTCAACATTATCCTTATACAGGGAACTACCACATAGTAATAGGCACTTATTTTTAATTCAGATTATGTTTTCTCTTAGAAGTAATTCTTGATATGAAAGGTGAGTTTCCAAACCAACCTATTCCACAATACATGTGAAGTTAGGAGCGACATTCATGTGATGGTACATTAAACTTTTATTTAGCAAGTAAGACATAGTCCCTGTTCCTAAGAAATTAAAATCCAGTAGTAGTGACAGGCAAACAGACCATTTTGCTGCTGGATGGTAAGTACCAATGTGTAGAGGAAGGACACCTCACTTGAGTACTTCATGGGGAGCCAGGGAAGCTTCTGAAAAGAGCTGATACCTTAGCTGAGCCCTGAAAGCTAAGTGGGAGATACCAAGGCAGAGGCAGGTGAGGGTTTTCTTGGACTGGACAAACCTGCAAAAGATACAGAGACTAGAGAAAAAATGTTCTGGCCGACTGCAGTGAAGATTGCAAGGGGAGGGCCTCCTTGGTGGCCCGGGGGTTAAGTCTCAGCACTATCACCACTATGGCCTGAGTTCGATCCCCAGCCAAGGAGCTAACCCATGTGTGATGCAGCAGACCTCTCCTGTCTCTCCCGCTATTCCCCTCAGCAGTGTATTTTAGTCGATCTGCCTGTTCTGCATCTCACTCTGTCTCTGGTGAATTCTATCACCCCCCCACAACTCTGGCCCACACCCCAGTTTTTTTAAAAAATAATATTGCAAGGGGATTAGAGATCATTTGGAGCTTTTAGATCATAGTAGGAGCTTAAACTTTAGCTTGTTAGTAGAGGACCATTGAAAGGTTTTTAGCAAGGTAAATGACCCTATCAGATATTCATTTTAGGAAGTTGAATATTGGTGGCTGGCATGGTGGACACATTTGAAGTCTTTAAGAGCAAAGCTGTAGGAACAGCTGTGCATCCTTATGTAGAATAAGGTTTCCATGAGAAAATTCGTGTAAGTCTAAACTTTATGGTGTCAGGAATATATTTCAACTACTTTCTGCAATGCTTGAGGAAATAATCTCTACCCTAATTCCTCTATTTTCTGGACTAAGAGTAACAGCAAGGGAAACAGTTCTAGATCCAAGTTCACAAAGACTTGAACTAGAGCAGAGACTTTTCATTTAGAGAGAATTAAGAGGGTGCTAGAAAAAAGACTAATGGAGAGAAGAACATGAACAGGTATTTTAGGGACAGGAGGATGATGCCTGAGTCATGTAGTAAAGGGCAAGGAAAGTGGGTGTTTCTTTGGGTTGGGGGAAAAAGAGCTTTGAGGGGCCTGGCTTTCTGCAGAGAAACAAAGGCACCTTTGGCCTCACTATTATTTTAGGTCCTGAGTAATCTGTCTCCCCATTCATTTCTCTTACTCTGTTGGCAACAATAATGACTAGCCTATTTCTGTTTTCTTTCCACTGCCACCATCCTTTGCTTTGAAGCTTACTAAACCTTTATAAAATAGGATGCGGGGCCTCCCCGGTGGCACAGCGGTTGAGCGCTGGGTTGCAAAGCTGCCCGCAGCCTCTGCAGCGCTGGTTCAATCCCCGGCTGCTCCCCGGCCATTGGAGGAGGGTCCCACATGGCGCGCAGACCTCTCCTGCCGCCCGCTGCTCCCCTCAGCAGTGTACTTCGGTCCTTCTGCCTGTTCTGCTCCCCGCTCTGGCTCTGGTGAATTCTCTCACCCTCCCGCGCTTCTGACTGTACCCAGTGCATGTATAAACAAACAAACAAACAAATAAATAAATAAATAAAACATGCCTCTATTAAAAAAATAAATAAATAAATAAATAAATAAAAAATAAAATAGGATGCGGACTTACAGCTTCTGTCCCTGTTATTTGTGATGTAGAATACTATCCTTTGAAGTTGGAGTTTTCTGCTAATAATGTTAGGGACTCAGGATAAGAGGTTCTTTCCAGTTCTCTTTTTTTTTTCTCCTAAGACTCTAGGGAAAGAAAAGGCACATCTAGGTGTTGTCAACGAACTACTAAAGTACGGTTCAAGTGCATTTTAGAAAAAGAACCCAACTTGTTTCCTGGACATTTTATCATGCAGGAGAAGGCACACAAAGAAAAATCCAGCATCCCTTAAACCAAAGAGCTTTTCTCTTTTTTCCTTTCCTTTCTCTTTATAATTCTTAACTCTCTTACAACAGATTGCACTGTGGCATGGCATGTTAAACACTGAATAACGATGGTGCCAGTAGAAGCTGAAAGGAGAAAGAAATTCTGAACAACTACAGTGGGAAGGGGAGGAGACCCTATTACCATTACTGCTGAGCTTGCTGCTCCCAGTGTGTATATTTGTACATAAGTTGGGTGTGTGGTGCAAGGCCCACCTCTAAGTGCCATTTCCTTTCTGATTGTACTGAGACTGGTGTAACAGTTTCACCAAAAAAACAGCTTCACCAGTTCTGCTGAGTTACATAACTAACTGGATTGAATATCTTCTTCTTTTTTTTTTTTTTTTAAAGATTTATTTATTTATGCATACTAGAACTGGGGTACAGGCCAGAGGTGTGGGGGGTGAGAGGAGTCACCAGAGACAGAGTGGGGAGCAGAACAGGCAGACTGACCAAAATACACTGCTGAGGGGAGTAGCGAGTGAGACAGGAGCGGTCTTCTGTGCCATGTGGGTAGCTCCCTGGCTGGCCGGGGATCGAACTCATGATGCAGAGGCTGTGGACAGTTTCACAGCACTGTGCTTATCCCCTGGCACCACCAGGGAAGCCCATGGATTGAATATCTTCTTTCTTAAAATTGATTTTGTCCATACTCAGTAAAATTGCTAAGTAAAGAGTAAAATGTTCACAATAGGGAATTTTTATTTTTTATTTAATGTTCAAAGGGGAAGGTTTATTACAAAAAGGGGAAGGAAAGTAAAGAATGCTTGCACACACACAAGTGGGCAGAAAGAGCTGCCCCTGAAAGGGACAAGTTTGTAAAAGAGACCTTCATAGTTACAGGTGGGTGGGAGAAATGCTACCCACCTGTGTTTTTTTTTTTTTTAAGATTTATTTATTTATGCATGTAAGAGCTGGGGTACTGGCCAGAGATGCAGGGGCGGTGGGGGGCAGTGAGAGGATTCACCAGAGACAGAGTGAGGAACAGAACAAGCAGACTGACTGAAATACACTGCTGAGGGGAGCAGCGGGCGAGATAGGAGGTCTGCCTCGCAATATGGGTTGCTCCCTGGCTGGCCTGGGATTCGAACTGGTGCTGCAGAGGCTGCAGATTGCTTCATAGTGTGTTGCTTAACCCCTTGCACCACCAGGGAGGCCCCAATAGGGAGTTTTTAAAGAGGAGACTGAAACCCATGAAAAATTAAGCCCTTGAATAATTAAAAATCATGGTATTTTTCTATCAATTTGATGGGTTTTAAAAAAAGAAATGTACATATTTTGAAACTGAAGTTGTAAATTTCTACCTCAAAATTTTGAACTGTATCAAAAAAACAGTTGAAATAATCCATTACTTTGGGTTAGGTGATAGGAATTTGGCACAGGTATTAATAGCAAATGAATGTTTGCTATGTCTGTGTAGATATTTTTTCCTTACGAGTTTGAGCTAGGAAACTTTACTTCTCGATTTTAACTGGCATCTTAAAGAATTTGAGCATGAGAAACTGACATATCGGTTGGTGTTTGGGTTTAGAACTGGAAGCCTTGAAGCAGCGTTTCTGGAAGCATGCGAAACCGGCAGCCAAATCCAGGGCTTGTCAGAAGCTGAATGTAAACATCATAGTGAAAGATGTGGGTGCTGACGGGAAGGAGGAGCTGAAGGCAGATGTGGTACCTGTGAATTTGGCAGCTGAGAAGCTGGATGAAGCAAGCCACACAAAACCAGGTATATGCGTCCACCACTTTGTTTTTTTGGCTTTATACTTTGTACTCTGGCTACTGCAAACCCTATAGTGAAGAGTTACAGAATCTTTTTCCTTGGAGATTTTGGAGACTGGGTAACAGTGCCTCTAACCTGATTCTCGCATAGCATTGCCTAGAGATGTGAGGTGGGTAAAATACCTTTTTTTCCCTTTTAAAATAGCCTTTGTCTTATAAAAAAAACAATAGACATCCATTATAGAAAATTCATAGAAAGGATAAGTAAAAAACTTCTACAATTCTCTGAAACAAACTTCTATAACCATAGTGTGTCCTTTCAAACTTTCATTTTTGGGGTCTCCCTGGTGGCCGCGGGGTTAAGTCTCAGGCTCTCACCGCTAAGGTCTGAGTTCAATTCCCAGCCAGGGAGCTGACCCACATGGCGCAGCAGACCTCTCCTGTCTCACCAGCTGTTCCCCTAGCAGTATATTTCAGTAGATCCACCTGTTCTGCTCCCTACTCTGTCTCTGGTGAATCCTCTCACCGCCCCCCCCCCCGGCCTACACCCCAGTTCTTTTATGCTTAAATAAATAAAAATAAGTAAAAGTATGAAACACTACTTTAAAAAAAAAAATCCTTCTCTGTGTGTGTGTGTGTGTATAAATGCAATATATTCTGCTCTATAACCTGCTTTTTTAACAATGTGTTAGGGATAGTTCTATTGTTCCCACTTCCCTTTGAAAATGCAAGTAACATCACACAGGGGGAGAAAATTTTCTTTTCCCTTTTTTTCCCACCTCCACCCAGATGGCGGCCATAACCCTAGTTCATGCCACCACACTCTCCAGTCTGGAGTGTTCTGCCTTTCTGCTCATCATGGTGCCTTCAGTGTCACATGCTGCAAGCCACTGTCCACGGTTTTGCTCATGGGACCACTCATGTTCACAGCCCTGTGATGGCCTGTGATTTGAGCCTCGGGATGTGTGCACCTGGCCCTCAGCTGTGCATGTGCTCCTCAGCTGTGTGCCCCGCCCTCAATACGTTGCCCTTGCCAAGCATGTGGCCTTTAGCTGTGCACCCGGCCCTCTGCTCTGCACCCAGCCTTCTGCTCTGCACCTGGTTCTCACCTGTGCGCCTGACCCTCTAATGTGTACCTGGCCCACTTCTTTGCGCCCGGCCCTCTACTTTGCACCTGGCCCTCTTCTTTGCGCCTGGCCCTCTGCTCTGTGGCTGGCCTTCACCTGTGCACCTGGCCCCCTGTGCCCGACCCGCTGATCTGTGCCTGGCCCTCTGCTCTGCACCCGGCCCTCACCTGTGCGCCCGGCCCTCTACTCTGTACTTGCCCCACTTCTTTGCGCCTGGCCTCTACTTGGCACCTGGTCCTCTCTGCGCCTGGCCCTTACCTGTGCGCCCGGCCCTCTACTTTGCACCCGGCCCTCTGCTCTGTGCCTGGCCTTCACCTGTGCACCTGACCCTCTGTGCCTGGCCCTTTGATCTATGCCCGGCCCTCTACTTTGTGCCCAGTCATCAGCTGTGTGTCTGACCCTCTGCTCTGCACCCGGCCCTCTGTTGTGTGGCCTGCCCTTGGCTTTGCCTAGTCCTCAGCCATGCATGTGCCCTCACCTGTGCCAGGGCCCTCAGTTTCACATAGGAGAATATTAAAATACTGAGGAAAGGTATAAAATGAAAAATTAGTATTCCTAAAGGTTAACAATTTCTTGTGTGTCCTAGGGAAATGTGTATATGTATACAATGTGTGCATGCATGTGTGTGTGTTAAAGACAGATAGACAGTTATTAATTACTCTCCCAAGCACTGTCCTATGTATTTGCAGTACGAATCAGTTTTCTTATTCTGTGTGTAAGCAGAGCATTATACATGGGATTTAAGAAACTTACTCAAGTTTACATTGCTAATAAGTAGTAGAATCAGCAGCCTAATCCAGACCACCTAACTCCAGAGCTCAGATATACGTTGTATTGCTTATGAGGTTTTTTTTTTTTTTTTTAGACCATTGCATATATTACATGGTATGAATACAGTCATGCATTAAAAATGATGTTTTGGTCAATGGCGAACCGCATATGCAGTGGTGGTCCCATCAGACTGTGCCCTGTCGCCTCAGTGTGTGGCAGCCTGCACCATTAGATGTGTACTTGTGCTCTGATGCGTGGCTTAATGACAGTGCATTTCTCAGAATGTATCCCTGTCTTTAAATGATGCATGTCTGTATAACATGGTTTGTTTTAACTCATGTTGTTGGAAATCTGGTTTGTTCTAGTCTTTGGCTATTTTATGCAGTGTTATATGCTACTATCAGATTTATGTCAGTGTATCTGGATGCAAAATTGTCTGCAGTGGGATCATTGAGTGAAGATTTGATATGTAGCAGCCTATTGTCCTTTAGAATAATTCCATAGATATTTACACCCTGAATATTTTTTTAGAAAGTTTTTAATTTTTTTTCAAGATTTATTTATTTATTTATGCTGAGGGAAGCAGCGGGTGAGACAGGAGAGGTCTGCTGTGCCATGTGGGTTAGCTCTCTAACCAGGGATTGAACTCCTGCTTCAGTGGCTGCAAGTCTTATAGTGCTGAGACTTAACCCCTTGCTCCACCAGGGAGGCCCCTGTTCATAATTATTTTGAAAGATGAAGTTAAATATCAGGGTGGGGGGAACCCCTAAATGACCCTAAATTTCTTTCTAATAAGAATCAGGATGTGGGGCCTCCCTGGTGGTACATGGGGTTAAGGCTCAGCACTATGAAGTAATCCGTAGCTACTGCAGCATGAGTATGATCCCCAGCCAGGGAGGTGTCCCACATGGTACAGCAGACCTCTCCTGTCTCACCCACTGCTCCCCTCAGCAGTGTATTTCAGTCAGTCTGCCTGTTCTGTTCCCCTTTCTGTCTCTGGTGAATCCTTTCACACACCCCCCCACACACACACTCCTCTGGCCTGTACCCCAATTCTTGTATGCATAAATAAATCTAAAAAAAAAAAATCAGGATTTGAACTGCTCATTTCTGTATGAACACTTTTTAAGCCATGCCTCCATTTTAATGAAAATTAATTTAAAATATTAGATTCTTCACTTCTCTTTTGCATGCTATTTCTTTCCTTTTTTGCTTTTCGGTAGTTGTGGTTCAGTGGCTAATTTCACACTATTGTTATTTCAAGCATCAGTCACATGCATGTTGCTCTCAGATGCCTGTGCATGACATGCTTCCTTCTGTATCATTTGTCACCTACTGCCTTTTCCTTTGATGAGCCAGACACTTTTGTGAAGTCCTAATGTTCCCTCCGTTTTGCCCTTTTTAATCATAATTTTATAATCTTTGACAATATTTTACTCCAAGGTATAGAACATAATTATAGAAGTTCTCTTTTACACTGTAATTCATAAAACCCCCATTTGTTAAAATAAGAAAAGCCTAGAGAGCTAAGGTCTCTCTCTGGTTTTCCTTTTGGGTATGGCTTGAACATTTCTGGAGTTGCCTAAAGTGCACACTTACATTATTGTAGTATATAATCACTCATTGTGCCTAAAGCTTTTCTTCCTATTTCTGTTTAGGTGAAAAGCTTCAGGTGCTAAAAGCTAAGCTACAGGAAGCAATGAAGCTCCGGAGACTTGAGGAGCGCCAGAAACGCCAAGCATTATTTAAATTAGATAATGAAGATGGATTTGAAGAGGAAGAGGAGGAGGAAGAAATGACAGATGAATCTGAAGAAGATGGAGAAGAGGAAGAGGAGGAAGAGTTAGAGCAGGAAGAGGAGAGAGAGGACGAGGATGAGGATGAAGGCCATCAGGTTTCCCACAATTACATGATTTTGTTTCTTAGGATGCGTAGGGGAAAGAGAAAATCAGATTTGAATAAGAATACAGTAAATATGTTTGATTGTGTATGATTTTAGGGTCAGAGATGAATACAGCTAGCTCATAGATATTTAAATCAGTGCGTTCAGTTGTGTACACCATGAAATTCCTATAATTCTCAGAGCCATGGCTTCCCCTGTTAGTTTGCATATAGTAATCCAAATACACTAATATTGAAATGACTGTAGGCATAAGCTCTTTGTCTTCATTAATTTAGGTTAAGCAATTTTAACCTTGGCCAGATGGAGGTCTGGAATAAATTCTCAGGCAGGTTGAGGCCTCCCTGAGTTAATTTTATTCTTCATTGAGGAGGGTATTTGGAAAATGGCCTCTTGCCCTTGTTCCATGGCATTGGTTTCTGCTTTCTACAGAAGATGGATGATGGGATTTCTGGCATTAGAAAAGGAAGTTTCTATGATTGAATGCTGGAGTCACTTGAAAAAGTTGATTAATATTTAGCCCTGGGTAAAGGAAGAAGAAAGCAATGGCCGAACTGTTCAGCATATCGTAGTCTGTGGTTGGTTTGAGGTCAGTAGTTCTGCAATTTCAAGCTAATCAGTTAACCTCTCAATAAAACCTCTCAATAAAATGATAATCCAGTCTTCCTTCATAATCCTGTAGCAATTTAGGGAGGGTAAGAGGCAAAATAAAATAAGTATAAAACATCTCTAAAAGTGTCAGGAAAATTACATGAATGATCGTGGTTAGACTGAGCTTCCTTCAGGTTTACTTTTCCAGATCTAAGACATGACTTATGACCAGGCTAATAGTCTGTTTACTTTTAAATTTTTTGACCTTTATTATTTTGTTTTTGGCTATGTGATGGTAAAGATTACAGAATTCCTCCTCAGTGGTGAAGAAATGGAGACCAAAGATGAAAAAGAAATGGATAAAGAAAACAATGATGGCAGTAATGAAGTTGGCAAGTCAGTTGGCCTTTCTGTTCCCAAACCTCTCTCCTCAGATTCTACCTTACTTCTATTTAAAGACAACTCTTCCAAAATGGGGTAAATAATTTTCTTTAGGGAAAGATAAGATTCCCTTGGATTTGCCCCTTTAGTAAGAACAGAAACAGATACACAATTTGCCATGTTTTTTTTTTTTTGGCAGTGATTTTCCTAGTGAAGAAAAATCAGAAACAGATGAAAACTCAGGAAAAAGACCTAGCAAACTGGGTAAGTGGTGACTTTTAATGCAGAGCTTGACTTTTCTTTGATTCTCCAGCTTTGATACCTATGCAGCTTTCTGTAGGTTCCATGTTTTGAGCCCCAGTGGATTCTTCTCTGTCTTACATGTATGGCAATGAAGGGATTTATGAATTAGAATATTTTCCTTGGTCCAGTTTTTTAAAGCTTACATGCAGTTTTCTCTATAGTTCACCATGGGAATAAAATATCTCCCTATTGAGTATATGTTGATTGAGTGAATTATGAAACATTTCTATGTAGATTGAAAGAAGATGCATAAGTGATTGGATAATGGAGGGTGATCACAGGTTTAGGCAAAGTTCAAGGAAGATTAGTGTCACTTAACTCAGAGGGATAAACCCTGATTGTACAATGCTATGTTACTACTATAATTTACTTTTTTTTTTTCCCTAACCCTCTATAATTTACTTTTAACTTGATGTCTTAGAACATTAACTTGAGAGGTTTGCCTTTGAATGTTGCTTGATAATTTCATTCTCAACTTTTTCCTAAATAAATCCACCCTGTTTCCAGAATCACGTTCTTAAAATTATTTCTCTTTTTTCAGATGAAGATGATTCATGTTCATTGCTAACAAAAGAGAGCAGCCACAATAGCAGCTTTGAGCTGATTGGCTCCACAATTCCATCTTATCAGCCTTGCAACAGACAAACAGGCCGTGGGACCAGTATTTTCCCTACAGCGGGGGATTCAGATCTCCTTCCCCTGGGCTGTTTCGAGCCAGTTTGGTCAGCTCAGCTTCTAAGGTAATATGGTAATAGTTTTCTAATCGCCTCCCCCTTTTGCTTCCCACATTGCTAAATAAAGTGTGTCCAAGCCACCAACTCCTACCACATTATGTATGTTCAGTTTAAAAAATCCACCCCCTTTGTGTATTAAAAACAAACCTTATCCAGTATTCTTACTTTCTTGGAGATTTTTTTTCTTATGCTTCTCTTTGCTATGCATTGTCCTCCTTAACTGCAGTTGCCTGAGAGTAGATGAAATACTGCAAATAGCAACTTCTGTTGTTGTCATGACAGTGAATGACATTTGTAAAATGTTTTGTTTTGTTTGGTTTTGTTTTGGTGCCAGAGTTCAGGAAAGCTGTCTGAGCCTTCACTTCCCATAGAGGATTCCCAGGATCTGTATAACGCCTCCCCAGAGCCTAAGACACTTTTCCTAGGAGCAGGAGACTTCCAGTTCTGTTTAGAAGATGACACTCAGAGCCAACTGTTGGATGCAGATGGGTAGGTAGTTTTATGTTTCTGTGGGTGGCAATGGTGCTGGGTACTGCTTAATTTTGTTTAAAAATAAAGTGAGCTTCTGTCACTCCATATGTGCTTTCTCTTCTGAGAAAGAGAAGGTGTACAGACCATTAGTATTACATTTTACAAGTTTGAACAAAGTCTCTCCACAAAATAAAACGTAAATAGCACTTGCTGGTGTTGCGATCCTTCACTCTCTGCCTTATTTGAAATGCATAGTTCTTGTAAGGCATCAAATTTCCCTGTATCCATTTTACTATGTTTTGATTGTTGGGTAGGACTAAGAGTTGGCAGGCCTGTGGCATATTACATGGGCATACAGCAAGCCCTGCTCTGGCATCATCTGAAACCAAAAGTTATCCTTCTACCCTTTACTTTTGAATAGCATTTATTCTTTCATAAAACTTCCTCACCCCACTTCAGATGATCACAGGCTAAAGTTTGAATTTTTCATCTTCTGGTTTGGGATTCAGCTTCTACCTTTGGTATCAGAGTTTCTCACACATTTGTATTTTTCATAGAGAATTCCTTATACTCTTCATTGTGCTTGTAGGTTCCTAAATGTTAGAAACCATAGGAATCAGTACCAGGTTTTAAAGCCCCGATTACCACTGGCCAGTATGGATGAGAATGCCATGGACGCTAACATGGATGAACTGTTGGATTTGTGTACTGGAAAGTTCACCTCTCAGGCTGAAAAACCGCTGCCCAGCAAGAGCGACAAGAAAGAGAACATGGAAGAACTTTTGGATCTTTGTTCAGGAAAATTCATTTCTCAGGGTAAATATTCAACAGAGAGCATCAGGCTCACCCTGGCCAAATATCTTAAGTCACTGTCCTTGAAAAGAAGCCCCTTGCTCTGTGGTGATAAGTTCACAGGAAACAGGGCTGTGATGGAGTCTAACATGTAGCTTGAACTTACTATTTAATTCTTGGTATTTAAAGCGATAAAGTGTTAGCTTAAGATTACTTTAACTTTGCCATATGATTTGTCATTTGTGGTTAATAGATGTGCAAAGTTTAGAACAGTGTTTGGTGTATTATAAATTTCATATAAATGCTAACAATATTTCTACCTGCATGCCCCTTTCTCCTTCCCATACCTCTTCTAGAATGGGCTGTTTTGTTCTCTACTGATCTTAGGTGCCTGGCATATAGTAAGCACTAAATGAGGATTTGTTGAATGAATGGATCATAATATTGTAAGCTCTTTATGGAAAGCTCACCTTAGAGCTATATTGAGCTGGCGTGTCTATAGATGACTGGAAGGAGAGAATAAAACTGTCATTCCTTGATGACAAATCTTTTTATTTGTTGGTGATGTAGATGCCTCCGCTCTAGTACCATCAGAGTTAAATAATCAAGAGACAGAGGGCAGCATGGGTGATCCGATGGAAGAAGCACTTGCTCTTTGCTCAGGCTCTTTTCCAACAGACAGGTGAGTCTCAGTGATTGGTGGAAACTTGGGATGGCCTGGTCTCCTGAGGAAATGCTGGGATCAGGTTTTCTGGGTTTAACTGGTCATCTTAGGGGCTTCCTATCCTGTCTGAGAGTCCTACAGTGGTTTTGAGTCTCATATTTGCATGGTAAGGAAATTATAATGCTTTCACTTAGTTATTGGATAACAGGATAAAAAATGACAAGGATAAGTACAGAAAGATTCTCAGCATCACTAATAATTAGGGATGTAAATCAAAACCATAGTAAGATACTGACACACTCATTAGGGTGGCTACTGTCAAAAAGCCAGAAAGTAAGTGTTGGAGAGGATATGGAGAAATCGGAACCCTTGTGCACAGCTGGTGGAAATGTGAAATGGTGATAGTGCTGTGGAAAACAGGATGACAGTTCCTCAAAAATTTAAAAATAGAATTAGTATCCAATCTAGCAATTCCGCTTTTGGATATATACCCAAAAGAAGTGAAAAAAAGAACTTAATTAAAATTATTCATATGCTCATGTTCATAGAAGTATCATTCATAATAGTGAAAAGATGGAAGCATTCCAAATAGATAACAAAATGTGGTGTGTGTGTATGTATATGTTTGTATTTGTATATACACGGAATGATATTCTGTCTTACAAAGGAAAGAAATTCTGATACATACTACAATATAGGATGAACTATAAGGACATTATGTTAAATGAAATAAGCCAATCACAAAATACAAAATCCGTATGATTCGACTTACATGAGGGCCTTAGAGTAGTCATATTCACAGAAACAGAAAGTTGAAGGGTGACTACCAGGGCTGAGAGGGGAGAATGGGAAACTGTTGTTTAATGTATACAAAGTTTCAGTTTTGCAAGATGAAAAGAGTTCTGGGCATGGGTTGTGCAGCATTGTGAATGTACCTAACACCATTGAACTGTATACTTAAAAAATGGTTAAGGTGATAAGTGTGATGTCATGTATATTTTATCACAGTTCAAAAAATTATTTTAAAGATACCTTGTTTCCTATTTCTTTGTGTGTGTGTGTGTGTGTGTGTGTGTGTGTGTGTTTTGTTTCCTATTTCTTGATGAGATTGTTGGTGCTAATAAAATATCTTCAGTTCTTAAGTTGACCAATTGCTTGTAGTTTGCTTACAGTCACTAATTTATTATTTGTTAATTTGCATTTTAGAGAAGAAGATTGTGAAGAGGAGGAATTTGGAGACTTTCGACTTGTCTCAAATGATAATGAGTTTGATAGTAATGAGGTAAGTTTGAAGGGAACAGAGTAATCATGCTGAACTCCATGTATTGCTGCTGTATTTTCTTTTCCTAGTCTGAGTTCTGAGAATTCTGAGTTTGGCATCTTATCAGAATCAATTTCCTAGAGTGAGATGTTTAGGCAGCCATTTATACATCCTGCTTTTGTTGAGGATGCACTTTATTCTGGCTCACTTGAGTGATGTTATGATTCTGCAGGATGAACACAGTGACTCTAATAATGAAGATCTGGCACAGGGAGATCTTGACGATGATGAGGAAGAAATCATGAAGCAATCCGAGAAGTTGAAAAGGCAAATGTAGGTGTTATAGCCAATTCTTTAATTGCTAATAGTTGAGTTCCAGTTTGCCACCTTTTAAACTTAAAATTTCTGGTTCTGTTTTTGCTTTTTTTGTAGTGAACATAATTAAATAAAATCTTTTCATTTGTCATCCCTTGAATATTAAAGATTAAAGGTCATGTCCTCAGTGATTTCTAGAGGAAACACCTCTAGTTCCTTCAGCTGTTTCCCACATGACATTGCTTTCAGACTTCTTGTGTACTGGCTGTTCTCATCTTCAGGTGCTGTGACTACTATATGTAGTGGCATAGCCACATCTTGCTCTGGATGCATACTAGAAGAGTCTTCAGAAATTGAGCTGAGTCACTCTAGATCCTGAGGCTCTAGTAAACAACTAAAATTCCCTGGGTCTTTTTTCCTATGATTACTATTTTTCCAGGTTTTCCTTATTCTGGTTTTGGGCATATGATGACCCCTTGTGTTTTGCTATGTCCTGATCACCATCTGATCATTTATTACAGAATATTTAATACAGAAAAATACAAACAAAAATTCCTTCCATGTCCACTATCCAGCATATTTGTGAAAGTGTTGGTGGTAAAATTGCCTTGTAACTTTTTTTATGCATGTATTTTTACATAGTTGAGATCTGTGTAGTTTCTTTTGCATGTCCAATTTTGCATCTTGTTTTTTTTCCCAGTTAAAATACCCACAGAGATTTTCCCATGATGTTAAAAGTTTTGTAAGGATATTTAAATTGGCATTAAATGCAATACTGTGCATGGATGACTTTTGGAATTCACATACAGGACATTATATTGATCCCTATTAGATTTATATTGTTGTTTTTAGCCCATCATTCCATTTTGTTAAGATTGGTTTGGGGTTCTAATTTGTCACCTGTCAAATTAACTCTCTGCAGCTTTGGCCATGTATAGATTTTTCTAAGGTAATGGTCCTTAAACCTTATTTAACTGTAGAATCCTTTGTTCAAATGAAATCTTATGAAGACTGACAGCTAAAAGTTGAACTCCTCCAACAGGGTAAATGAGAAGATTAGGAAACTTAGTGGCTAGTAGCCCTTAAAGAAACCTCAGGATTTAAAAGAACTCAGATTTTTAAAAAGTAACATATTTTTGATAAAAATAAGCCTCAGACAGCCAACAAACTTCTGCCACTTGTGTCCGTAGGCAGTAGGACTTAACCTGGGGTGACAACAGATTTATTCTCAATGAGAACTGAAGTTGGAAAAACGACTGGTTGTTTTGATAACTAATCACCATTAACACGAAAACCCTGTCGTGCCTCTTAGTTGTTTACTTTCTAAGTCTCAGTTCCTTGAAGTATATGTTGAAGGGAATAATAGTGCCCCTGCTGAGATCACGTGATGATGCCCATAAAGCACAGGGGTTGGCACACAATATGTACTGATAGACTTGACTATTATCAAAATGTATTTAAAATTCAAACTCATTGTTGTTCTTAGAAATTGCTGTGTTCTGCTTTTCTTATTTTTTCTATATTCTCTGTGTATTCATTGTTGGCATTTTCTAATCTTCAAAATTATTTTCCAGGAGATTGAAGAAATATCTGGAAGATGAGGCCGAGGTGTCAGGGAGTGACATAGGAAGTGAAGATGAATATGATGGGGAAGAAATTGATGAATATGAAGAGGATGTCATTGATGAAGTACTTCCTTCTGATGAAGAACTGCAGAATCAAATCAAGAAAATACACATGTTAGTATCCCAGCAAGCCTGTTTGAGTAATTTGGTGTGTCTTCAGGCAGGCCCTATAACCAGCCAGAGTCCTGGTTGTGAACACCTTAATTTTCCTGTTGTAGGAAAACGATGTTGGATGATGATAAGCGACAGCTACGTTTATACCAAGAGAGATACCTTGCTGATGGGGATCTGCACAGTGATGGCCCTGGGCGAATGAGGAAATTTCGATGGAAAAACATAGGTACCATGGTTGGTTGTTGCTTGTAGAAGCATATATGCCAGTTGTATATAGAAGCAACTGGTAGACTATATCAGTCTAAGTGGAAATTAAAACTATAGCTGGTTATTGTGGAGGGTCTGTCGTATGACTATTATTTTCTATTAGTGAATGGGGAAAGTTTGTGTTAGTGTATGATAAATTATATGGGTTCACTTGTCAAGGCACATCCTGTTGGGATTGCAGTATGCTGATTGCCTTAACTCTTTCCTTTAGATGATGCTTCCCAGATGGACTTGTTCCACAGAGACTCTGATGATGATCAGATTGAAGAACAACTTGATGAGACAGAAGCCAGATGGAGGAAGGAGAGAATTGAACGAGAGCAGTGGCTACGGGACCAAGTAGGAAATCTGCAAAAAATTCACCTGTTCTGACCCTCGTTTATGAGGGAAGGGTCTAGTCACCTAGCTTGTCGTGATAGTTCCAAAATATTGGGCAGCATGTTGCTATTCCTTATAATCCCTGACTTTTCTTTTGTGCTTTGAGAAGGTTATCATGAGCAATTCTCTTCATGTTTGTCCAAAATCAATCTTTTTTGTCTAAAGCAACTAACGGTTGCAAAAAGAGAAACAAGTGATGTCCCAGGTACCCAAGCTTCAGGCCATGCTAATTATTTAGGGGTTCAAAAGACTCCTGTTAATGTGGCTAATTTTTAATTTCAGGCACAGCAAGGGAAAATTGCAGCTGATGAAGAAGAAGAAATTGGGGAAGACAGTCAGTTTATGATGCTGGCCAAGAAAGTTACAGCCAAAGCACTACAGAAAAATGGTGAGCTCTTGATTCTTCTCAGGGACTAGCTTCCTCAACTGTTACTGCTGGAGCCTTGTAGGCAACTCGAACTGCATGTACCTGTGTCTAACATTATCTTAAAGAGGTCCCTCAGATGTGGGGAGAGGCAGTGTTTGCAGATCCTAGATTGTTTGGCAGTGAAGGTTGTACTTGTGAGACTATTTAACAGGTTTTGCTGTATGTTCTAAAGAAGCTCAGAGTATGAATTCTGGCTTCTTCATTTAGTTTCCAAAGATTACATAGCTAAGTGTTAAAGCTGGGATTTGAACCCAGATATATCTAACGGCAGAGTTGACACTGTTAAACACTATTCCACAGTCTTCCCATGCTTGTTTTTATTATTACTGTTAATGATTAGTCAATAAGTTCACCTTAGTTATCTGTCTTACTATCATCTCAAGTCACTGTTAAAAATAACCAGAGGGCCTCCCCTGGTGGCTCAGGTGGTTGAGCGCCTAGCTGTGAAGCTATCTGCAGCCTCTGCAGCACCGGTTCAATCCTGGCCGGCCGGCGAGGGTCCCACATGGCGCTGCAGACCTCTCCTTTCGTGCCCGCTGCTCCCTCAGCAGTGTATTTCATTAGTCTGCCTATTCCCCTCTCTGTCTTTGGTGAATCCTCTCACCCTCCTGTGCATCTGGCCTGTACCCCAGTTCTTGTATAAAAAAAAAAACAACCAGAATTCCTATGGCTTTTTTAGTTTAGTTAATTGGTTTAAAGTCTTCTTTGTATGTTTAGATTTAAAAGCAGTTCTACCCAGCTTTGCCCAGAACAAGCTTCTCTGTTTTTTCTTTTTAGTCAATCGTACTGTGGTTGTTCAAGAATCAGAGTCTTTATTCAGAAATCCTTTTGAAGTCATCGGACCAGGAAGTGCCAGCCAGGTTGGTTGGGGGCCTTATTAGCTTGATGCCTTGATCCTCCGTGTGATAAAGGCCCAGGTCACGCTAAGGGAATACTCTGTCATTAGGGGAGGGAGGAGGAGTTGGAAGATGTCAAGGGAGCCTGCTGATTATTTTCTTCTTGAGTAGGGTAGGATTATGTTCCTGCAGTATGCTGCAGGGGGAGACTGACTTCTCGTTCTTTCCATGGCACTTGGAATTTGACACCAGATGACTCTTCTTTCCTTAGATGAAGACGGGCTCTCTGCTAAACCAGCCCAAAGCTGTGCTTCAGAAACTGGCTGCCCTCTCTGACCTCAACCCCAGTGCTCCCCGAAATTCAAGAAACTTTGTCTTCCATACAATTTCTCCTGTCAAGACTGAAACAGCAAAGGAATCATCGAAGCCTCAGGTAGGGAATTTGAGAGCTCAATTGGTGGGTCTCCAGACTAGAATTAAAATATTTTTTAATTTAAAAAAAGTATATATGTGGGGCCTCCCCTGGTAGCGCAGTAATTGAGCGCTGGGCTGCAAGGCTGCCCGCAGCCTCTGCAGCGCCGGTTCGTTCCCTGGCCGCTGGCGAGGGTCCCACAAAAAAAAAATATATATATATATATATATATATATATAAAGTATATGTGTGTGTGTATATCTCTATATATGTGTGTGTATATATAGAGAAAGAGAGAGAGAGAGAGAGTGTGTGTGTGTGTGTGTGTGTGTGTGTAAAAAAAACTTATGCCGCAGTATAATTCTTGCACTCCCTAGTAACATACAGAGGAATTATTAACCCAGTAGGTAACCTCTGAAACTTGCCTGAGAAGTTCATATTTCTTTTCTTTGTTTCCGTTGTTAATTGTCCATGATTTAACTATGTGTTGATGAAGAACTAATGTATTATATAAGTTCTCTTATGAGTGGCTTGAACTCACCCTGACTCTCTGCTCTCTAGGTGAGGAAAAGGGGTCCATCTTTAATGGCAACTCCTTCACCTAAGTGCCCCAAAACAGATGAGAGTACTCCAGGATTGAAACGAAGCATCTTCAAATTCTTGGAAAGCTAACCCCAGCAAGGGTGCCTGCAACTGTGTTGAAATTGCTTTGAAAAGTTTCTGGCATTGAAGGTGGGAGTTAATGCCCACATGGATGATCCCCCTTCCTTCATAATCAGTGCACTGAGATTACAGACAGAATCAAAAGGATTTACACTGCATGGCTCTGGACTCTCTTTCCTTTCCTAGTACTATTTCCTGGGTTAGCCACTAATCTTAAATTCTTCAGTGTTTACAACATCATGGATACTTGGATGAAGGTTCATTTCCTCCATTAAATATTAGACACTTGATCCTAGCAGCTTCCTGGATTGATACCACTTTGTGATTGGGGTGGTTGGAGGAGGAAAAAAGTGGATTATAGAAGATGAGAGAAAGCCGTGACTGTCATTACCAGGATGACTCCTTCACAGCCTAAGATCTGCACCACAGTGACCGGACTCAATGAAGGGCTTCCTAGACAGGCACCTAGAACCAGCATCTAGGCTGTTCTATTAGTCTTGCCCCTTCCATTTTCCTGTCTGCCTCTTTCCAAGGCAGTCTCAAATTTCAAAGTAACCTTTGCTTCCTTTATAATAAGAACTCAAACTATTACCCAAGTCAGAGAGACTTTGGCCCTAAGTTTCTGGAGTGTGAGGGTTACACCCAGTGTGTGCCACAGGAGAAAGCCCATGAGCAGGGGCCTCTGTCCTGGGATTGAACTCTCATTTCAGTGTTGCTCAAGGACACTTTTCCTTTAGAAGAGGAAATACAAGTATTATTTATTGCATTCAACTGGGTGAGTACATTGCCCTGTAACTTCATACTTTATTACTTGTTTTGAGAGAAGACCCTCATGGAATACAACCAAAATATTGTTGAAGCAAATTTCTACCACTCCGGATTTTCCCTGAACTGCCATGAGGCTCTTGGAATTTTAGACAGATTTTTTTTTTCTCTCAGAACTGAGCACCACTACTGCTTTGGAAAAACATTCCATGTGAATACTGTGGTTTCATTGTCAGGAACTGGACTTGAGAAATTGAGTGAGTTGTGCCAGTTTTTTATCGGTAGATAGGGAACACCATTCAGTGGAATTAGGGTATATCTTTTCTATAGTTGTTTCTAATATACAAGATGCTGACTTTGACAGAATTTATGTTTGTATATTTGTAATTTTGTAACAGGGAAAATGTATATAAAGATATTTTAATGTGTGTAGTTTTTCAATAAACCTCATGCTGTAAAGGCAGATTGACCGTTGAGATTGAATGCTGGGTCTCAGGTCAGCGTCTGTCTCGTGTTGAGCATGTTGTTTTCAGGCTGTCTCCTTCCCAGGGAAGCACCCTGGGCCTGAAATGAGAGGCACTCTGAGGTGATCACATGAACTCACCAAGTGGGTGAGTATAGGTTAGGTTCAGTGCAGGTCGGGTTCACCAAGTTGGGTTCAGTGCAGGTGTAGAGAGTTTACATACAAGGTACCACCTGTTATAGCCCTTTGGTTGGCAGCCCTGGTCCAAGGTGAATTATTGTCCTTCCCTTTGCACCATCTAAATAGTGCCCAAGGCTGGGTAGCGCTTGCTGAGCAAAAGAGAACTGGGAAGTGGGGTTAGGTATTTTTCCCTTCTTGCTTTCCCATGTCCATTTGTGGGGTAGGGAGGAGAGGAGAGGGAGGAGATAGAGAAGAAGATTGGAGTGAGCCACTGAGGATAAAATCAGTGCCTGAGAAATCTGGGGAGCAAATGTTCTATTCTAGAGCCCAGAACGAGAAGTTGAGTTGTAAGCTCTGGGTCACTTTTTGCTGTGACAGTGTAGCTATATCATAAAGCAGGCTAAGCCTGGACCTTGGTAAAAGGATTGAAGCGTAGAGTTGTGACTGATCTATATAGCCGGTGCAGTGAACCATCAGCTTCAGCTACAGTCATGAAACTGGAGCCTCACGGCCTGGCTTCTAGACTCAACTCCCCTAATTTAGAAATTCCATATGGAGGCATGAGAACCTGGGAGTCTGGAGCCAGAGTATGCTCAGTGACAGTTCTCTTGCCGCCTCCTCGTTCTGCACACTGGGATAGGGACACATGGTATTTACTTCATTTAAACAGGACTCTGGGGCCTCCCCTGGTGGCACAGCGGTTGAGCGCGGGGCTGCGAAGCTGCCCGCAGCCTCTGCAGCACTGGCTTGATCCCCGGCAGCCAGCGAGGGTCCCACATGGCGCGCAGACCTCTCCTGCCGCGCCCACTGCTCCTCTCAGCAGTGTATTTCGGTCCTTCTGCCTGTTCTGCTTCCCGCTCTGGCTCTGGTAAATTCTCTCGCCCTCCCGCGCTTCTGACTGCACCCAGTGGTTGTATAAATAAATAAATTAAAAATCTTTAAAAAATAAAAAAATAAACAGGACTCTGTTCTCACTTATTCAGTCCACAGTTACATAAGCCATGCCTGGGTCTGCTCCACAAAGCATCATTACATTCACAAAAGCACCGTGGAGACAAAGTGCTTGGCCCCCTGCGCCATCCCTCTCCTCAGCTGCCTCTCTACACACTTCTCCCCACTTTGAGAATTTCTTTCTTTTTTTTTAAAGATTTGTTTATACAAGAACTGGGGTGCAGACCAGAGGCACAGGAGGGCGAGAGAATTCACCAGAGACAGAGCAGGGAGCAGAACAGGCAGACAAAAGGAAAACACTGCTGCGGGGAGCAGCAGGCGCGACAGGAGAGGTCTGCTGCACCATGTGGGAATCTCCCTGGCCGGCCCGGAATCGAACTTGTGCTGCAGAGGCTGCGGACAGCTTCACAGTGCTGCGTTCAACCCGCTGTGCCACCGGGGAGGCCCCACTTTGAGAATTTCTAATGGCTGGGCCTTTTCTGTTTGTATCTCCAGGAGTTGTATCTAATAACTCTTGGTGGCCCTGTCCTGAGATTTGTACATCTGGGGGTTGGGGAGAGTATTTCTGGGAGTAATGTTGTCATGATGCTCTCTGATTATATGATCCTGGGTAGTGTTTGTCTTCTACCTTTGTATCCTATTTGCTGTCTGGCACATGGCCTGAAATGTGTGTTGCCCAATAAAGGTTGAATGAATAATACCACACCTTTCAAAGCCTCCGTTATATCTATAAAATGAGGCTAGTAATTCACTCCTGTCTCAGATTTGCTGTGAGGCTTAAGTTGGAAGATGTATGTGAATACATTATGTCAAATGCTACTCTGCAAGCATAAGAAATTGCCAGTGTCGCAGCTGCATCATGCTTTGTCAAAACTCCTAAAGGCCTCTTGTCTCAAAACTTCTCAAACTTAACATCTTTTAAAATGTCAATTTCCTCCCCTAAAAAACCTGCTCTTCTTGTGTTTCCCATTTCTGTGAAAGATACCTCCATATGCCCATCACTCTGGCTGGAAACCTGAAGGGCTTTCCTGACACTGTCTTCCTGACTCCCATAATCAAACAATCTAAGTTCTATTCTTTCCACTACCCAATCACATCCTGACTCAGATTCTTCCAGCTCTATAGATAATACCCTACTCCAAAATTGGGTACCGCCAGCCTCCTGATTACCCACTCTGTTTACTTCCTTTCTGTACAATCAGTGCCCAGCACCAGAGTGCACTTTGTATGAACAGAAACTGCAGGATGAACTCCTTCACTTGAGACATTTCAGTATGTTCCATTGCACCTGGAATTAAACTCAAACTCTTCATGGCCTACAAACCCTCCATGATACAGCCATGCATCACTTAACAGTGGGCATACATTCGGAAAAATGTGCTATTAGATGATTTTGTCCTGGCATGAATATCTCAAGGTGAAAGGACAATCCTACATGGTATAGACTGCCACACACCTAGGCTGCAGGGGCTGCTGTTCTATACGGTCCCCAGCTGGGGTGTAGGCACAGTGCCACCTTCCAACCTCTAACGCACTCTTCATCCACTTTACCTTCAGCCCCAGAGTCTTCCAAAATGTTCTTCCCCTTTCCTGGAATTCCCTTCCCTCCACCATCGTCCTTATGAGGCTAATGTATAATTCCCCACATGTCATCTTAGAGCTAACTTTCTGGAAGAGGCCTTCCATTACCACCCCCTTTTTAATTATTATCTCTACTAGTTCCTTATTCTTTTCTTCTGGATCTCTTATCACAGTTTGCCACCTTAGTGTTTGTGTAGGTCTGCCTTCCCTGTTAGACTAAGTGTTGTGAAAGCAGAGATCATGTCTGTTTTGTTAAAAATGTATACTTTGGGGCCTCCCTGGTGGTACAAGGGGTTAAGACACAACCTATGAAGCCACCCACAGCCACTGCAGCACGAGTTTGAACCCCGGCTAAGGAGCTACCCATATGGTGCAGCAGACCTCTCCTGTCTCACCCGCTGCTCCCCTCAGCAGTGTATTTCAGTCAGTCTGCCTGTTCTGTTTCCCACTCTGTCTCTGGTGACTCCTCTCACCCCCCACACCTCTGGCCTGTACCCTAGTTCTTGTATGTATAAATAAATAATTTTTTTAAAATGTATACTTTGGGTAGCTCCCTGCCCAAAGAACTAATGGATAAATATTTGCTAAACAAGTGATTTGTGGCCTGGAAGTTATTTTTTTATTTTAACTATTTTAAAGATTTATTTACGCATACAAGAGCTGGGGTGTAGGCCAGGGGTGGGGGGGTGGTGAGAGGATTCACCAGAGAGAGTGGGGAGCAGAACAGGCAGATTGACTGAAATACATTGCTGAGGGGAGCAGTGGACAAGACAGGAGAGGTCTGCTGTGCCATGTGGGTCAGCTCCCTGGCTGGGGATCAAACACTAGCAGCCAAGATAGCTTCATAGTGCTGAGACTTAACCCCTTGAGCCACCAGGGAGGCCCGAGGCCTGGAAGAGTTAATGGTGAAAAGCATGGAGCTAAATTGCTTGCAAAGCTTTCCAGTGTGGGATAGGAGAGAGATCGTGGTTATATGAGACCCGCTCCTCTGAGAAGTGCAAGTGGCATGATGTTGGATAAGTTATTCTCTGAATGTTTTTCCTCAGCTAGAAACTGAAGCTAAAGTGTAACTCCTCCTGGCCTACAAACCCTCCATGTCAGGGTTTAACTCACAGGATTATGATTAAGATCTATGGTACAACTTAATGTGAAATGATTGAGGCTGTGCTGTTGCTGGTTAACTACTGCTGAGGAAGGACCAGGGCTGATGCCTCCTTATGGTCTGAGTGGGAAGGAGAGGCCACCAGCCCACAGACTGTCCCAGAAGCAGCGGTGGCTAGCTCAGTGCTGGTACTTGTGTCTGGTCAGGTTGGAGGGCCTCCTGTGTGCTTGGACATGTGATAAACCAGGCAGTAGCTACGGCTTTGTGTATGACTAGTGTCACCTGTGGCTTTACCTTCTGAGACCCAGCTGCCGGATCTCTCTGTCCCTAGTAGCTGTACGGGTTTTTACTATCCACGTCCTTCCCATCCACTCTTTCTGTCCTCTCTTCTCTCACCTTAAAGGTTTTTCATTTTCAGTTATTGATCTAGTTCTTCCCTGTGGTGGGATACATAATAGGAAAAGGGGATTGGAAGTAGCTACAGCCTCAGGGTGATTGGGACTGGACGCCTGGGTTCTTCCCTTCATTTTAGAGGCAACCACAATCTGATACTCTTAATGACAGGTGGGCTAGAAGTGGGGTGAAGTGGCAGCCCCAGCTCCAGGCTGGAGAATCACTGTTCCACTCTAGGGGTGGAAAGTGCTGGGGCAGAATTGGGAGTGAGTCATGGTGTAGGTTTTTCAGCCCCCATCTTTTTCTCAGAGGCTGAGGGAAGAAAAAAAGCTGACTGCCCACCCCTCTCTTTGTTTGTCTTGTCTAATTTAACTTACGTTATTTATCAAAAAGACAGGTTATTTGGAAAAACAGATGGACCCAGGCAAAAATCATCTGGGTTTTCCAAATGTGAAAAATTAGGTTCTGAGGGCCCAGGAGGAAAGGGGTGTGTGTGTGTGTGTGTGTGTCTTTGAGAGGGGGTGAGGAATATTGAGGGCACTTTATGTCTCTGTAGTCAGACTCAAATTGCTCCATGACATCCAAGCTTCCCCACCTGGGCCCTGCTTTTCCCTTCAAGTTCTTTATGCTCAGAATCTAAATGAGAAAACTAGAATTTTGTGCTGGTGGCTGGGTGTGATGAAAGGGTAATTGGCTAAGGATGAGGACATGTCAGGACAGCAGTAGAACAGCAGTTGACAGCTCTGTCTCTAAGGCCCTCACCTCCTTCCACAGAGCCAGTAGATTTGCAGAGGTACTGGCTACCGAGAGATTTTTGGAGCAAAAACTAATACCTTGTGTCCCTTCAATGTTACCTAAACATGACTGCAGCAGACAGGGAAATTAGACACCAGGGAAGAACTTATTGTTTCTTAACTTTCTGATGCTCAGATGGCCAAAGAACTCTGAGGATTAAGAGTTGCATATCCCCAAATGGCCAATAGACATATGAAAAAATGTTCAACATCACTTGTAATCAGGGAAATGCAAATCAAAACTACCATGAGATACCATCTCACACCAGTGAGAATGGCACATATTAAAAAAACTAGCAACAACAAATGTTGGCGAGGGTGTGGAGAAAAAGGAACTCTTCTGCACTGTTGGTGGGAGTGCAAACTGGTCCAACCACTATGGAGAGCTGTGTGGAGATTTCTGGACCTACTAAACATAGAGCTTCCATATGATCCAGCAATTCCACTCCTAGGTATTTACCCAAAGGACACAGAAACATCAATTCCAAAGAGCACCTGCACCCCTATGTTTATAGCAGCACTGTTTACAATAGCTAAGCTTTGGAAACAACCCAAATGCCCAAAAGTAGATGACTGGATCAAGAAGATGTGGTACATATACACCATGGAATATTACTCAGCATTCAAAAAAGATAAACACATGCAATTTGCAGCAACATGGATGGCGCTGGAAGGGATCATGCTCAGCGAAATAAGCCAAAAAGAAAAAGAAAAATACTGGATGGTCTCACTCATAGCAGGAATCTAGAAAACTTAAATAAGGGACCAGGAAAATGAATATAAGAAAGTGAAAATCAAAATCAACAAAAAACTATGAACCAGAGACACTTTTTGGGGGGTGGGGGGCGGGAGGGGAAGGATTGGGGTCAGAATGGGGCGTTTGCAATTGTATGGGGGAATATAAAAATAAAATTTAAGATTAAAAAAAAAAAAAAGAGTTGCATATCCCTTAAATATCCATGGAAGGAGCTATCACTGAAGACATAACCAGGAAGTTTTTTTTTTTTTTAAATAATAAATTTTATTTTTATATTCCCCATACAATTGCAGCCCCCCCATTCTGACCCCAATCCCTCCCCTCCCACTCCCGCTCCCCAAAAAGTGTCTCTGGTTCATAGTTTTTTGTTAATTTTGATTTTCACTTTCTTATAGTTATTCATTTTCCTGGTCCCTTATTTAAGTTTTCTAGATTCCTGCTATGAGTGAGACCATCCGGTATTTTTCTTTTTCTTTTTGGCTTATTTCGCTGAGCATGATCCCTTCCAGCGCCATCCATGTTGCTGCAAATTGCATGTGTTTATCTTTTTTGAATGCTGAGTAATATTCCATGGTATATATGTACCACATCTTCTTGATCCAGTCATCTATTTTTGGGCATTTGGGCTGTTTCCAAAGCTTAGCTATTGTAAACAGTGCTGCAATAAACATAGGGGTGCAGGTGTTCTTTGGAATGGATGTTTCTGTGTCCTTTGGGTAAATACCTAGGAGTGGAATTGCTGGATCATATGGAAGCTCTATGTTTAGTAGGTCCAGAAATCTCCACACAGCTCTCCATAGTGGTTGGACCAGTTTGCACTCCCACCAACAGTGCAGGAGAGTTCCTTTTTCTCCACACCCTCGCCAACATTTGTTGTTGCTAGTTTTTTTAATATGTGCCATTCTCACTGGTGTAAGATGATAACCAGGAAGTTTTAAAGCCTGTGACTCTGTCACCTCTAGGCAGCAACTACATTAGGAAGGAATTGAAGCAGGAGGCTGCAGAGACATGACTCTTGGTTGTGACAGAGGAAGTGTTCTGGCTGAAAGCTTTTTGCATAGCACCTGTACA